TGTGTGTGTGTGTGTGTGTGTGCTTCATAATACATTTTTTTCTCTCTCTTTTCATTCACGAGTGTAATGTTTGCCTGGCTCGACTGAGCAAGATGAATTGTCATGTCTGTGTCATCATTAGTCCACAGAGGGGAGGGACAGGGCACACATGAGGAGGATTATATAATTCAGAGATCTTATTTTCCCTCTTCCGTTCTCTTGAATTATCCTTATCATCGTGCTGAGGAGAGCTATCATTTACATCCGCAGGAGATACGATTTCTTTCTGAATTAAAAGAGCGTAGGTTTTATATGAAAATATACAAATTACATATTAGGCAGAAGTAGTGCTTTGTCAAACTGTCTATCACCTTGGACGGCAGGCATCTGCTCACAGCCTCAGCAAACTGAAACGTCCTTGAGCAAAACAATGAATCCCTACCAGCTTCTGTCATGTGTTCTGTTGCCCATACTTGACCTCCGTCCTCCCTGAAGAAAGGAGCAATTACATCTTCAGAATACACAGATCTCACATTGAGCGATGAACGGAGTCAAAGCAAATGTTCTCTTCACGTTCTCTTCAAGGCTGATGTTTTATCACACCAAACTAGTCATAGATACGAGCACAGCGACAAAAAAATTCAGCTATGGAAGAGCGAATAATATCTGGCAGGAGGTATCATGTGGGTCTTTCATCAAGCAGGCACTCAAACATCTTTGAATGTGAGGACTCACTGAAATGTGCAGAGCAAACCTGGATAACATGCCAACGTCTACAACACTCAATATCTTATTTAGAGAGCATGTGAAGGCTCCTGAGACATGGTGCAGTAATACTAAGGACACATTTGATATGAGTCTTTGTAGTTCATCTGTAAATCAATGTTAACAGAGCAACTTGGAGAAGTGGCTTCTGGTTACACTGCAGACTAAGGCTTCATCCATACATAATGTTTTCATTTGAAAACAGCATCTTCAAACTAAAACACTGTCTGTCCACATAAGCGTTTTGGCTCCTTATCAGTCCTTATCCCCGTCCATACTAACACTCGCTCTCGTACACTGGCCATGCCTGTGCCAGTTTACACAGGAATTGCTTGAATAAAAGCTTGTCTTCTGCCCATGTAAGCAGTTGTATCACGGCAACACAGCTGTTAGCAAAGACAACAGGGTCAGCAATGGTTTGTAATTGATTATTCATGTTACAAAGTAGCCGAGGCTAATGCCAGTTGTTTTCTTCTGGAGGAGGGTCATGTGATAGGAGCCTGGCGAGTCAGTGAAGGCTACCTCAAGACCCATTCAGCCATCGGTTGTGAGTTTCTATGTTATTGTTTCTATCCACCCAGACTAACACACAGCCCCAAAGTGTACAAACTAAAACAGGGCCAGTCGTTTCCAAACCTCTCAGTTTTATTAGCTGTAAAACTCCAGAGCAGTGTGACCATATATCCAGAGCACAGTTGATGCATTTTAAAAGTGTCTGAAGTCTGAAGCCTCTAGCTTTTAAAAAACCAAATAGTATTTGCCATTCATAGCTTAGTGCCGTGGATAAGAGAATTTCTTATTAGTGCAGAAGTTATTACATTTGGTGTTTTGCTGGCTATTGTGACTACGCCACTTACTTATATTGCTGTACACTGTAAAGAGAAAAATATTCATTTGGATAAATTACTGATGTGTGTCATACATATACATTATGTTCCAGGGTATCGCTAAAAACACCAGCAGTAGTTCTGACTGTGTTATTTTATTTCTGGATAGATCAAATTAATTGATAATTGGCTACAGGCTACAGGTTACTAATGGTGAGTAAAATTCTAATTTCTATGCAGACCTGTGGTATCACAGGGCCTCCTGCTACAACACAGAAATATAACAATCCGTAATTAATTTTATGCTTAATTTAACAAATCAAAGAAACTACTTAATAAATGAAACACTCTAAATGAGTCAGTTTAGTGTCACTGATGCTTTCTGGGAGTGTCATGCTATATTGTACATGTTCTTTGTTTTGTGTCGAGGCTGATTTATCTGAAAAATGCGCTGAAACTGATCTGGAATATGTGGAGCTCTGATAAAGCTTTGTGATATTAATATCTTATCATACTGGTACACAGACAACTCCTTATTTTTCTGCAGTCACATTTTAAACACATTTTTTTATCGTAAATGCATTCATTCTCTGCTTCAACAACATTCTGCACCACTGATCAATGCTGAAGCTCCTGCCATCAAACAAAAGGCGGCTCTTTTGGACTGAATTATCCATCGTGAGCAATGTATTTTCCCACTAATTACATGGGCAGTCTATAGTTAAACAAACACCCATTAGCTGAAGTGTGGAATGTGAGTAATGTGCAACTTTTTAAGATTTTTTCTTGAATTAAATGAGCATCTCGCCAGACGACTGATGAATACCGCATGTGCATACTCAATTAGTTCAAGTGTTTTGGTGTGGTGCTAATTAGGTAAATATAGATTAAGTACAAAAACAGCGAGTGCTTGTGTATGTGGCGTGGAAGTGTGTACGCATACTTGCATATATTTGAGAATTTATTTGTGCTTATATGTGTGAGGTTGTTTGTCACAGTGGAAAAGTGTGCACATCATATGTGTACGGGTCATAGTAAGAACTTGCATGTGTTTGTGTTACCCTATTTTGGCTAAATTATGGGTTTCTCATTAGCAACAGTATAAATATTTGCCTGTGCTGTGCAGATCTCGCTGTGAAAGCAGCTTGCAGCCTTTGAACAACCATGAAATTAATAGAAAAAAAAATCAACTGCTTATCAGCAAAACTGAGCAAGGCTCCCAATTCTGGAAAAGACGAGAGAGACAAGAACAGATGTTAGGAATGAAGAGAGAGGAAGTGTTTTTCCTCATTCTGTACATGTTTACATTTAGGATTTTGATGAGAGGCTTTTGAAATGCGAATCATTTAATTGTGTTAACATCCAGCCCACTCAAAACTACAGCTGGAATTCCAGTGCTGAACATTTCCCTCTCTGGGTTAATGCATGTGTGTCAGTATCTCTCCTGTTATACACACACACACAACTAAAACCATTCTCTCGGTTTTGCTCGCATTTGCCTCTCACAAACACACACACACACACACACACACACAAACTGTCCATAACATAGGCTCTGTCTTCTTCCTTCCTTGCGTCTATTTGAAATCTCCAGCTACACTAATGTGACCCAGAAGGAAAAAGGAGATGTTGATGTGTGTGTTCAGACCTTGTGTCCTTCACACCTTGTGTCCTTCAGTATTTCCTGTAGGGCTCAAACTAGATCTCTAGATACAATTCAACCGATACACTGTCCACACTTGCACACATACACACACACGCTCTATTTGTTGCGTAAAATGTAGAGAACTGCACAAGATGCCACTGGTGCTGAGGCTTCCAGTATTGACCACCACTACAGGAGCACAAAAGATGCAATTAGCTCACATGCCACACAGTGGGGTGCATAATGTCAGGCAAAAATTATGGATTGTTCATTATTGAGTCCCCAATATACATGGTAAATAATATGTAGGCAACTACAGACAATGTTAGGGAGCAGCTACCATTTAGGACGTACACCCAAAGACATTATTAGAGTCATAATTTTAGCCCAAAGAGCCGTAATGAACTGTGCATAAACTTGTGCCGACATTAAAGGATCTTTTGGATCATAAACAAGATATCAAGAGTTACTGTTATGACACCAATTCTGTTGATGCTCTGTGCTAAAACCCATTTAATGGAGGGAACTTGCAGCCTTCATTAAATACATGACCTGACTTGATTTTGACACGTTTATTGGATTAATGCGGCACTGAAATACAGCACTGCACAGGCTTGACAAAAATGAACACTGACTGTTTCTCAGTAATATTGAGACCAACATAAACTAATAACCCCTCTATTATGTATCCTTTTTATCCTTTTACCCCACCCTACCCTTCCTTACCTCTGCGTTAACACTATCGTCTGTGTTTGCAGGCTACGGCTTTGTGGACTTTGACAGCCCTGCAGCAGCCCAGAAGGCTGTGGCCTCTCTCAAAGCCAGTGGAGTCCAGGCACAGATGGCGAAGGTAAGCTTCAACCTGCCGTTTTCTCTGCTCTGCTTGTTTTCCTGTGGTGCTCCAGGTAGATTCAGTCATTGTCTGCAAGCTGATGGTGATGATGATAAAGGTGGTTATGATGGTCGATGTTTTTTGTGGTTGTAATAATAATAGTGACAACAACGGTTGATGTCGGTAATAACTGGATTATCAGTTTTTCTGTTACATTGACTGATGCGAGACTGATAGCTGCAGCTTTTAATAAACCAATGGTGAGATTATTGATTTAGCCCATATAGAGTTATTGATTAATGACTATTGTGATGATGAGATTATTGATTTAGTCCATATAGAGTTATTGATTAATGACTATCGTGATGATGAGATTATTGATCAAATCCCTGAAAAGATTGGAGGAAGGATGGAACAGATGAGCTGATCTCCTTCCCGTACTCGTATGCCTTTTGTCTAGTCTCTATTTCCAAAGTGTTTTAGGCCCAGATATCATGCTTGAAAACTCATGACAGCCCATGTGTTACCTACCTATCTGCCATTTTGAATTTAATGGGCAGTTTTGGCCTAATTTTGACCATTTCAATAAGTCGTTCTTTAACTCCAATTAGAGAATTGATTGTTTTATCTTTAATCTTTAATTCTTGCTTGTGCTTGCAATTATTGTGAGCTTGAATCCTGCTTTACATGTATTCATTAACATGAATGGCATCACTCTACAGCAGTAACAAATTGCCCATACACCTGGTGCTCCCAGATGCGTTATACAGGTTACTCAGCAGTGTGTGTCTGTGTGTGTGCAGCTAGCAGTTGTGGTCAACAATGCTCTACCAAAGCATGTGGGCTCAACCAGCAAAATTACATTAGAGTTCTATGTGTGTGTGTGAGGGAGACACTGAATAGCCTGCCTTGCTCTCAGATTTATTAGGGCTGTATCACTGCATGCTTCTCGTTATAAATGAGAGGAGTGCAATTAAAATGGGCAAGTCTTCAGGCAGCAGGAGCATCCCATTGAATTAAATAGCAGCAAGCCTCTGAGCAACCTTTGCCTTGCTCTTCTATTAAACCTCTTTTCATTAGACTTCCATCTCTTATTTTGTTTCTAACGGCTTGGAGGGGTGCGTTTGGAAGAGCAGTGTTGATGTGTTTAGCTGTTATTAAAGAGAGAAGAACCCTCGACTCCTTGGAGATTGAGTTTTCCGGAGGGATGGAAGGGAAGCCAAGAAGTCAATTCCAAATGAAATTACACAGACTTCTTACTGTTTCATGAACTAATTATGCACAGAGCTGCTGATGTCTTGTCTAACTTTCCCGAATCTGGGTGCAACAAGGAAGTCAGTTTCACTGATGTCGAATTTCTATCTCGAGCCTGTAACGTTTTGTTTGAGACGAGCGACTTAATTAGGGGTTGACAAAGTCTTAGTTTTTAAGGCATTCACTACCAATTAGACTGATTGAGACAAATTTGTCAAAGTGGAAACTCATGCCATGCTAGCTCTCACATCTTTGTCAGAGTACACTGAGGTTTTTCAGGTTAGGTGGGTCACAAACCTTTGTTCTTGGTTCTTATCTCCTCGAGTTAAAAGCTTTACCACCAAATAGAGAATGGCTGTAGAGACAGGAGAAGAGGTGAATAGCTTTTGTGAGTGATGAGACGTTTAAGAAATGTATATAATTGATTTTTAGGCGGATCAGAGGTATAGAGAATAGTTTGTGTACAGCTACACTGATCTGACTGTGAACATTGCTTCTTAGCCTGACATGGAATGAAACCTTGGATCAAATGTCTTTATAGAATCTAAGCATCCAATGTGCTCAATTTAAATATCAAAAAACAAGTTACATCAAATATTAACATATATAATAAAAGCTGACTTATTAATGACATACTAAATACTATCCATCCATCTAATATTTATACCTCCTATTCTTTGATCCTTTGAGCCAGTCCCAGCTCATACCCTCTAGACAGGTCACCAGTCCATCACAGGACCAACATACCGAGACAGACTCACACTTAATATTTACTGATATATAGAGTGGAATAATGAGTCATGATGCTGGTTAAATATAAAGCTTTCAATACATTTTCTTTATATACTGTATAAGATTAGAAGATAGACAGAACAGCTTCATTTCCTTCCCTTCTTATGTTACCTTAGGTTGCCAGGAAGGACACAAACATATTAAAAGGTGTCCACAATAGAAAAAAACAGCTACTACTACAATAAACTGGGTTTTATAGAGAACTAAAGGTTTTGTTGGAGAGGTAGGACCTTTTTTCACATTTCCATGAATTTCTCAGGGAATAATTGTTGGATCTTCAAAATCAGGCATATTTTGGGGACTGATATCTATTTGAGTCTGTACAATTGCAGCTTGATTGAATTTAAGGGGGCTACTGGGTCTTACTGAGTGCCATTTTAGTTTAACTTTTCTTCTTCTGCACTTTTATTTTCTTGTAGAAATGTACAAGAAAAAAAAAAAGACCAGACACGGTTGAGGTGCATATCTGATGGACTGTGGTGGAGGTTTTGACAGGAGATGCTATATCCTTAACCTTACTGCCAAAAGAACAAATACATCTGTGCAGGCAGACCACCAGAGACGGGGTTTTCACTGGTTTCAGATAAGCTCTCACTTTTTCAGTCTTATCATTTTACCTCCAGATGGAAACAGTGGACATAGAACCTCTGACATTTCCTCTTTATTTCTACTTCACACACACAAAAGTAAAAACCATCTTCACAGAGCAGAGTTAAAACCTGGGGTTGTTCCTGCTCCCGTAGAAATGGTAATATTATCTAACCTTGAGTGTGTGTAAGGGGACATGACAGATTCGATTAGAGTGAGAATTGGGTGAGAACAACATTTCTGCTGGGTCAGTGAAAAAGAGGTGGAACTATGAAAACACATGTGAATAGAGTTGGAAGTCAGGAAAAACACAAGTTATATATATGACTGTGATTCACATCAAGTGAGGGATGTGGGTGGTATGTGCTGCCTTAGAGGCTAAACGCAGGGCAAAACATTTGCCATTATCAGAGTAACTCTCAAGATCCATTGTCTTCTGCTTATCCAGGCTTGGGTCGCCAAGTAGGGTAACCCAGACATCCCTGCCACTAGTCATGCTTTGTAGCTGTTCCTATGGGATCCTGAGGCATTTCGAGGCCAGGTTGGATATGTTGTCCCTCCAACGAGTTCCGGATCGACTCCTGGTTCTACTCTCGGTTGGGCAATCCCTGTAAACCTCCAATGTCTGAACTACTCACCCTATCGCTAAGGCTGAGCCCAGACAGCTGACAGATAAAACTCATTTCAGCTTTTTCTATTCGTGACCTTATCTTTTTGGTCACTAACCACAACTTCTGACTAAAGGTGAGGGTTGGTAACTAGAGAGAAGAAACTGTGTGTTTGACTCAATTCCTCAGTCTTCTTGGTAATTAGTGTTGACCTGAAAGATGATTAATGCTGCAGCTGTACTGCCTGTTTCTTGCCTCCTCTCTCAATTCCCTGCATCATGCTCACTGTCTCTCTTTGTATCTATCTGGACCCACATTCGACCCTTAAAGTCTTTGTTGTCCTTAAAATCCCTGAATCTGAACATGACTTGTGTGAGTACATCACGCAGTTGTGATGAAGCCATGTGAGCTTTTTTTTGTTGTTGATATTTTTTTGGGGTGGTTTGCTGTTATTGAAAGGTTAGTAAGTGTGAGATGGTAATATAGAGGGGTGGAAGACAGGCAAAGCAAAGGGCCAGGCTATGGCCGCTCCTTCTTTGTTCTTATTTTCTCTTTTTTTCCTTTCGTTGACATAAACCTTTTACATGCTGCACTTGCCAATATGCAGAATTTGTGTGTGCATGCGTGTTTGTTTGTGTAAAATCTAGTCATTACAAAAGACTGATCTTTAAAAGGAAAAACATACTGCAATAGAAAACTAATGTGTATTAAAATTCATATCTGGCACCTTTTTACTATGCAAACACAAAACACAGACTTTATTATGCATACTGTATAAGCACTGTGTGTGTGTGTGTGTGTGTGTGTGTGTGTGTGTGTGTGTGTGTGTGTGTGTATAATAACAGTTATAGGGGACCAAGGTCACTATGCTAATTAGAGAGATGGTACCACTGGCAGTGACACTTCACACCTCCCTCCCTTTTTCTCTCCCTTTCTTCTTCTCCCCTCTACTTTGTCCTTGGAACCTTCTGCCTTTCACTTCCATTCTCTGTCTCTTTTTTTTCGTCTCCTCTCTTCATCTGACCCCCTGCAACCTTCCCTCCTCATCCTCTCTTCTGTACCTTTTTTTCTCCTCACCCCCTCCCAATGTGTTTGAGTGTGTAGGTGGCTATCAGCGTGTGCGTGTGTGTGTGTTTGCCTCCTCCAGAGTCATTAGTTACAGGGTTGAGTGAGGACAGAGAATGAAGGATAGAGAGAGAGAGAGTGGAGGGGAGTGTGTGTGGGTTGAGAGAGGAAGGCTTGGTGTATTAGAAAAGTGAGAGAGGACACACATATACACATCAAGTGTACTTCATTGTATGACAGTCATTTATCAGCCCTGAATAAACCCATAAAGCCTTTGATTTGGTTAGTCTTTCTTTCTTTCTTTCCTTCATTTTTTCCTTGCTTCCTTCCTTCATCTTCTTCATCTTCTTCATCTTCCTCATCTTGCGTGTGTGTCTGATAAAAGCCAGATGCCTGATGTTCTCTTCACTGGGTTTACTGATGTATCCCGTGTGTGCTAGCTTCCTTCCCTCTGCGCATATGTGTGAGCACTGCCTGTATATGCCTGTATATTCTGTGTGTGTGTCTGACAGCTGAGGTTAGTGATGGGAAGAGGAGGACAACAGAGCCGACTGAGACATAAAAAAAGATGAGACAAAAACACAGACAGGAAGATGCGAGCATTGCTCTCCTTCTAACCCTGCTTGCCTATCACTCTCAATGTTTTCTTTCCTGAAACTGTCACCCTTTTTTTCCCCACCTCTGTTTTTAATTTTATTCATCTTTCATCCC